ACTAGTAGCAAGGACGCTACGAACGTAACAATTCGCATCGCTACTAGAAGCAAGGACGCTACTAGGGGCGCTCCTGGCCATACTACTAGTAGCAAGGACGCTACGAACGTAACAAATCGCATCGCTACTAGGAGCAAGGACGCTACTAGGGGCGCTCCTGGCCATACTACTAGTAGCAAGGACGCTACGAACGTAACAATTCGCATCGCTACTAGGAGCAAGGACGCTACTAGGGGCGCTCCTGGCCATACTACTAGTAGCAAGGACGCTACGAACGTAACAAAGCGCATCGCTACTAGGAGCAAGGACGCTACTAGGGGCGCTCCTGGCCATACTACTAGTAGCAAGGACGCTACGAACGTAACAAAGCGCATCGCTACAAGGAGCAAGGACGCTACTAGGGGCGCTCCTGGCCATACTACTAGTAGTAAGGACGCTACGAACGTAACAAAGGGCATCGCTACTAGGAGCAAGGAAGCTACTAGGGGCGCTCCTGGCCATACTGGCTGTACTTTAAGGGCAGGCTGTTTAGGCTGTTTGATGATTTTGAACCAATAATAAACATCAACCTTTCAGTCTGAAAGGCGGTGAGGTAGAGCGGTTGACAGGCAAACTCAAAAATCATCAAAGATCATTAATTAATTTCTGACAGAAGTCATTAATTAATTAACAACGTCAAGTCTGAAGTCATTAAGTTAATTATCAACGTCAATGTCTGAAGTCTGAGTCTGAGTGTGCTTAGTTGGCTTCTGGTGCTTGATCCTTTTTGCTTGCGTTGGCTCAACAGCGTCGCAACGGGGGCTGCAGATTTGGGTGCGAGGCTGCTTCTGCAATCTGTATGCGGACCTGTCTGTCATCGTTGGTGAAACTCTCGACAGGTGACATGGCCATGGATCTCTCGACGGCTGCGGAGAAGACGGCGGAGGACTGCTTTCATTTGCCCTATTTGCATCCTTTTGTCCATCTGCACTTTGATTCAGGATGTCGAGCGTCTTCTTCAGCTCAACAAGAGCTGCCTCACGGTGGGTCTTCATCTTAAATGCTTTGTTGATGAGACACCTTAATTAACTTAATGATTCGTTTCCGTTACTAAGACTTCGCCATGAAGCTGGCTGCGCACCACATGAAGCGGGAGCTCTCCGAGGATGAGGCTTGAGGATGAATAACGACGATGAGAGGGTCTTTAATTGTTTGGTTGTCTTTGGACAGGAGCAGGTGGTGTTCGAGGCGGTCTCCAAGAAGATGGGCCAGCCTGTGAAGGCCTTTGCAGCGCCTTGCCTGAGACAGAACTTGTTTAAAGTGATTAGATACTCAAAATTGCTAACTTACTCTGACTGGCCAGCTCCAAAAGCATCATCATTCTATTATAGTTCTTGGTTCTTTGAATTACGATTCAAGAGCTTAAGAGTGACAGCCTTGCTGGTGATAAGGTGCCAGATGACATGGCAGCAAAATCTGAGGCCTGAACTCATTCATTTTTGGAATGTATCCCTGACACAGTGGTTTTGTCAGAGATTTGACTGGGCAGGGCAAAGAGAAGATCCTTGTCTGCGAATCCTGCAAGAAACGCCATAGCCTCAAGACAAAGTCTAATGCAATTAGCTTGACCAGCTTAAACGCTCCATCGGGTGACCAAGTCGGATGACATTCAAAACTAAAACTCGCGACCAAGGAGTCTGCGAGCGCAACAAAAGGAAGGCTGGGTTTGGCCAGAGCGTTGTCTGTGTGGTTGAGACTCTGCACTTGCGACATACTATATAAATAAAGTGGAGACTCATCATGAGTAGAAACCAAAAGTCACTCTGAGTATTGAAGTTTTCTCTTTACTTCAAGTAAATTTCAGTTTGAGTCTTCCTGTCCAAATTCCAAATCATAATGTCATCGTTGTTGAAGCAAAATAGTTGGGTTTGGTTGTCATTATTCATTGTCATGCTCGCAGGCGGCCGGCAGCTCAGACGATCAGCCTGCGGAAGCTGAGCAAGGACCGTTGTTGTCAGTCGCTGTGGGGTGTTGCAAGGGAGGAGTCGCAGTCGACAAGTTGTTGTGGCCTGATTGGTTCTGACAGCAGTCATGTCACGTGACATGTTGCAGACAAGTTCTTCACGCCGCTCATGCCTCTGCGATGTTTACCTATCGAGACCCATCGTCATGTCATGTCATGTTCCTCAAATTGGGAATTTGCACAGACTCAACAGCCCAACGACAGGTATCAGGTAACTAAACAGGTATATATCAACAAACTTAAATCCAAGAATAATAAGACAGGTGTCAAACAAACTGAACAGCCCAACGTTTTCAAGTGAGACAGTTGCACTTCAATTTCCAATTTAACTGTCCTCGTCTTGTCTTAGACTGTTGAATGGAAGCCCCGAAGAGCGCGGCTTCCTCGCACCTTCGAAGCGATCTGCGGGGCTTAAAGCGGGCTACGCAGCAATCGCTCTACGTGCTGTTCAACATCGACACGGCGGGGGCTACAAAGTTGGTGTCGCTTGGCAAAGCTTTTGAAAATGATGATGATGATGCAATCAACGAACATAAGAAATTCAAGTGCACTATTAGTTTAAGTCCGATCATTGTTGATTTGACTGTCCCAGGAAGAAGTTCAAAACCACCGATCCTTCCAACCCAGACTCGTGGGTTGTATCTTCGGTGGAAAACAGGATTGTGGAGCTCTTTGGCCAATGCTATTATTTTTGCACTTTGCATCACTTGATAATTTTGCACTTTGCATCACTTGATAATCTGTTTTTGAATGACCTTTCACTTAGGCTTATCAGCGAACATGCAAACGCCTCCCAAGCTTCTGGATCTTCATCGAAAGGCCGGTTGCACATGATATTGTCATCTCAATCAGCGGGCCCTTCGATCAGATAGTGTGCCCATTGTCACGCAGGCACTACAGGTCAGATCCCGGTGCAAGTGGCCGGCAGTGGTGACGGTGATGGGCTGGAGCTCTAAGAAGCACCTGACAGTGTCAAGGCAGCAGTTAAAATGACATGGCATCAGAAAGCAAGCAAGTAAGAAAATATGGGCAGCTTGTTCAGATAATGATGTTTGAGGCCCGGTCGACCTTCACGATCGACAATGAAGAAATCCAGAACCCTACGAGTCTGGCCTTCATCTTGCAAACTACATTGGTCAACTTGGAGTTCTTTATGCCCTCACAGGTCGAGCGCCTTGCCAATGACTTGCTATTTACTTGTTTGAAGGTCATTGATTGAAATTATGTAGCTTCATCATCCTCATCATGATCATCATCCATTGCGACTTGATTTTCGTAAACTGTTAGTGGCAAACTCCGTTGAAGATCACATGAGGTCAAAAGGAAAAGGACGAGGCTTCCGTGGTGGTCCCAACAGTGGCTTTCACGTCATGGTCCTGGAGAATGCTCCTTGGATTAATTCGGCTGTTCAATTGTCAACCACTCAGCTTTAAACTCTAAAGTTTGCAGCCACTTCAGGTTTGCCGCCACCCGTTCTTTTTGCCTTCCATCGTGCACGCCATGAACAATCCAGCAGAGCTAATATTAGTGAACTGCGCACAGGGCTACCATCGTACGCCTGCGTTTTGCGTGCTGTTGTGGATGCTGCTCCTGGCCACTTCGCTGCATGAAATTCAGCTTAATGCATGTCATCATCACTGAAACTCGCGTCATCATCACTGAAGTTCGAAAACCATTATTGGACCAATCAAGGTCATGGGCGTGACTCCGACCATCTATGTTCCTTCGGCTACAGTGTCCGACAGGAGGTGGCAAGATGATGCGCTGGAAGCTGTGCAAAAGCACCGGCAGCTTTGCAAGATGAAGCACGAGGACCGGCTACTTTGCTCACTTATTGGTTAAAAGTGTTTAAACTACAGTCATTCAGAATGAAACAGTGAGGCCTTTTTACAACGACAATCGATTCAATTGCAAAACCAGCGATCTAAGGTTGAAGGCATGCCTGGACATGGTGGAAGAGAAAGCGAAGGACTTCAAATCGATGCTCGAGCCATCCTTCCTGGATCTGGCTTGCAAAGCCTTCGACATCCTCAGCAGGATGCATCCCACGTTGAGCCCCGGCTGCACTTATTAACATAGACTCTGAATGCCTTTTGTCAATCAACACACCGCCTTCAGATTCATTGCGCAAAGCTAACTCCCTCAGGATCGAAGATTGCAAACCTTCGCCTGCCCTGCTGCTGGAACAGACCAAGGCGGCTGTGGAGGCCAAAAAGCGGCCCTCGCCACCGGCCGATGACGATGGTTTGCCACCTTGGAGGAAGGCTCGGTTGGAAGGCGGCCGGGTGATTGATCTGGATCCTGTAGTTGAGCTCGCTCCCTTCAAGTCCAAGCTGGCGGGCTATAACAAGGATGGCCAGCTGACTTTGAATCCTGTAGTGCGCCTGAGCTTGACAATGAGTTTGATGATAATCAGTCAGTCAGTCATCGCTGTTGTAAAGGTCATTTCTTTTGCATCATTCCGGCGTCCAAGGAAGGAAGCTCTGGATGATTGCGAGGTCAACGAAAATGTCCAGATGTATTATGCACAGCTCCTGGCATCCACGCGTCTTGGAGAACTACGTGGGTCACGGCTTTTGATGCTTAGCGCAACTCCTGTTGAACTGGTTGACTGCGACAATGATTCAATGAGTCCAGTTGGGGTTTATGACTGCTGACTGCGTTTACGTGCTGAGGATGAAGCTGATCAAGAGCAATGCGTATGATCATCGCATCAAGAACGGCAGCAGATGGTTGCTTAACGCCGTCAGTCACTAGGCTACGTTATGTTTGAAAAGTCGTTGACTCACTCAGTCGTCGTTGCTGCAACAAAACCATCATCATAGTTGATGAACCTCCTAGCCCGTGCCAAGGTGAGGCCATGCAGCTTGATGAT